TCATGGAGATTATGAATAGTTGGAAAGCTAAAAAATATTTATAGAGATTATGAATAGTTAGAAAGCTAAAAAGACGAAGTGATGTCTAACATTTTGACTTATAATATTAACACTTATATTAATTCAGCATTAATTTTTTTTTTTTTTGAAACTTTTGTTTTGGGACCAAAAGCTTTTAAAATTTGCTAAAAATCATATCTTTCCCAATACATATTAAAGATGAAATTGTTTGAAATAACTAAATTGTTTGGAAGCTACACATAATGAGTAGAGAAATAGCTAACCGCAATCATTAAAATATGTTCTGTAACTATAGAGGCATATGTTGAACACAGACAAAATGAGCAAGCCTTATCTAGAATCAAAAACAGATAAGTCCTAAATCATGTGAAGAAATTTCTACACATCGTGTCAACGATGAGAGTAAAGGCAACTCTCACTGCTGGTTTTTCTCCATTAATCTAAAAATATAAAAACAATGATGTGAGTAATAAAAAAGCAGTAAAAGCTATGAAAACCAAATTTTTAAGATTAACTACCCACCCAAACACAATCCTTGTTATCTTTCTTGATTATGAAGACTGAAACTTCTATCACGAAAGGGAGTCCAATTTCAGAAACATCATGTTTATCATCAAGGGGTACCATGATCAGATATCCGGAGCAATACGTACCAACCACTCTGCTCCATTGAATGTATTTTCTACATTCTTATTCTGCATTTGAGACTTTAGATATTTTAACCTCATAATACAGTCTTCTTTTGATCTGCCAAGTATACTGCTCAACTGAGCTGGTGGAGTTCCCTAGGCATCGAGAGGCTGAAGAAGATTATCTTCTTGACTTGACCATATTTATTCTTTGTACTCTATATATTTGCGGACTGGTTTGATTCTCTGAATTGGGAAGAACATGAGAGAGAAAGAGACATTGGCAGGAAAGAGAGAGACGTTAGCAATATTAATTGTTTTTTAGTGTTATTTCTTTTATTGAGTTGAATTCTTTAACTTCAACTGGTGTCTCACACCAAATATTCAGCGGAATCACTCAAAATTCCTATACACTAGTTAGTAGGATTGGTATATATGCGAAATCTGATGTCAACACGAACTTGAATCAATTATTAGAATTTTGTTTGTTTTCAAAAAAAAAAAATTAATAGAATTTTGTTGAGTCATTTTAACTTGCTATTGCTACTCTCATCTGAAAAAAAAAAACTTATTATAACGATTACATAACATAGAACAACAAACTATCTAGTATAATTTTGTTTTTACTTAAATATCTGTATAACTCCAAAAAAAAAATTAAATCACTTCAAATAATATTAAACTACATCGATGTGTTAGAAGCCAATTTGAAAATGCATGCTCTTGAAAATATTGTTATATTTTAATAAAAACTAGATTCTCACCCGCAATATGTGCGGGAACATTTTTTG